CTCGAGTCACCAATTAGTTTTGTATCTCTGTGTTTTGGGTTTTAGTGTTTTGGCTTTGTCCGTGCTGATGTGACCGTACTAAAACAAATATGTGGAGTGCCAAGTTATCATCTAATGCTACCACGCTTAGTTAGCAATCTGCATTCATAAACTATACAGGTAGAACACAGGGGCACAGATTCCTGCTAATCAGGCTAAGCAGGTAGCTTGTCAGACATCTAGGCCTCACCTAAGTTGGTGCGACAGTCACTGGATGTTCCAAGTGCGGTGATGAATCTGCATAAAGATGTGGGCTTGAGCACAGCCTTGGTTTGAAAATGTGGAGACGACAGTGGAATTCAGGAGGAGCACCTCAGCATTGTCCCCCCTCACCTAACAGCACTGTGTCTGCAGTGGAAACCTTCAGGTTTCTAGGGTCAGAACCTGGAGCAACATACAATACTGACTGAATCTCCAAAGAGGCCGAGCAGAGGATGTACTTCCTGCTGCAGCTCAAAAAGTTCAACCTGCCTCTGAAGCTGCTGATCTGTCTACACTCATCCGTCACTGTGTGGTTTGGATCAGCCGCCAAACAGGACAAGAACAAACTACAATGGACAGTGAGGTCTGCAGGATTTGAACAAATCCAGAATTGACACACACAACCTTCTCACACTCCTCCCCTCTAGGAGGCGCTACAGAGCACGCACATCAAAACAAGCAGACATCTGTAGTTTCTTTCCAAAGGCCGTCACGCTGATAAACACATTGTCTCTGTACTCAAACATTCAGTATTCCTGCAGCTGAAAGCATGCTGTATAATACATATACTGTACAGCTGTTTCATAATTTATTGATTATTGAGCACAGTTCCTTGGTCCACATTCTTAGTCAAAAAGGCAGGTAGTCCTGACCGAAGATGTCTCTGAGTTGCAATAAACTTTCACTCACTCTTTTATTTTTTATTAAATCATTACTTTTTTTGCTCAAACCTTTCTTGCACTTGCACAAATCCACTTAAATTCCTCTGTTGTGTTTGTTGTGCGTATGCCGGCATGGGACAGTTTCCAGTTCCGTTGTACTGTTGTGCTAAGCTTGACTGTGCGATGGAAACAAAGAGTTATCTTATCTTATTCATGAAAACCTCAGGAACGGAAAAATGAGCAGTTCCTGTACTGTGAGTCAGCCACCAAACACTCCTCTGTGGAAGTGTCCCGACTTTTACAGCAGAAAAAAACAACACATTTCGAGGCTTCGGTGTGAGTCCCCCCCCTCTAAACAAATATACAGACGGATCTTTGCAAACAGCGATTCACACATCTGAGGATAAAACATAAGAGTCACATCCCTTTTTTTCACTTGCTGTGGAATCGTGTGACTGTTTTCTCACAGTAACACAGATGTGACAGAGCGCCACCATCAGGACAGTCAGCTCACCTGCATGATGCTCACTGGACCTTCTTCTCCAGGAGCCATTAGAAACCCTGCACACACAAATGTCACATGACTCGTGATCACCTGAATGATTCTTTAACATTTTTTCAACCCTTTGATTTTTTTATGTCATGGTCAACTTAGCTGCGCTGAACCGACACTTTCACTGTAGACTGTTTACTGTGACGTTCTTTTATTGCTTTTATTGTCTGTAGTTTTTGGTTGTCTACATTTTTATTATTAAACGTGTTTTTCCAGTCTGTTATTTATATCACACGAGTCTGGTTCCCACTGATCCCAAAGCGCTTGCTCATAGGGATCGTGTGATTGTTGGGGTTTTCTGTTTACTCACCCGTGAGCTAACTGTTGTTGGCATTTGATTTGCTGGCTTGAAGGGGAGGGGCTAAACACGGCTCTTTAAATCTACTATAGTAGAACTGAAGAATATGGATTTGGATCGACTTCAAGGACAAGACGAACAACTTGTTTCCTCACTGCTTGCTTTTCTGTTCTCTCCAAACCACATTTATGGTCCCATTTCTCTCTGTTAACGTTATTTATATGTTTAATCCAAATGCTGCTTAAAAAATGTAAACAACTGATTATCTTTTGTTAATTAATGATGATTTATCACTTTTATCTGTTTCACACACGTTTTTGTGGAATAAAGAAGTTAAAGGTGTGAAATTTGGTCAGAAGCTTTAACATGAGGCCTACCTGCTCTGAGTTGGTCCTCACTGATAAACTCAATAACAAAATTACTTTAGATCCTTAAATATCCTGTTTCTGCAGTTTCCTCCAAGTTAAGCAGATCTAAGTATTAATAAAAGAAGGATAAATATTCATTCAGGTCAACCTGCCTCCTTTTTTCTCTCTGCGCTGTCAAATGGACTCTTGTCTGTTTGTCTGTGTTTTTTTCCTACAGAGCAAACAACAGCAGTCAGTGGGCGGGGCTTACTGTGATGGTTACACACAGAACTTTGCGGACCGTCGTCTACATGTCGTCCCCGTGTCGTCCCTGTGTGCTGTTAGCAGGAGGCAGTGTCAGAAATACGTTGAACACCTCAATAAATTATTGATGTTGTTGTCCGTTCCACCGCAGATCAGACTGAAGGCAACTGGTTTGTTCAAAAAGCTCCACAAACACATGAAGTCAGCACAAACGTGGAACCACTTCAGTGCTTCATAAAAGCAGCAAATAAGGAGTAACGGTGTCACCAGGTCTGACTGGGAAACGCTGTGACTACAGAAAGGTGACCAGACTGCTCTCTGGAGTCGGTTACTGGGACACACACACACTTGGGAATGTGGGAATGAGGGGCCTCAGCAGGGGCCCCTGGGGGGGTTCCAAATATGTGACGCTGAACAGGGAGCATGCGGCTGTTTCCAGCATTTCCAGTCTTTAAATTGAGCTTTAAGGGCTTGAAATTGATCCTCAGTCGATCAAAGGATTTATATAAAAACACTGAACTGGTCCTTTAAAATAATGAGCAGCATGAGCGTGACAGACAGCTGTCA